TGTTTATCAACTGCAGTATTATTATCTCTAATATGGAATTTTGTTTTAAATTATATACTCTAGAATACATATACACACATACATATTATATCTCGATGAGAAATGAATGAATGAAAAAAAAATTTAGAATCAATATTTTAACAAATTTTCGGAAAAGGCAAAATAGAAAAGAAAAATTCGGGAGTTATCTGCGGCAAAGACGTCATAAAAGGAAGAATATACATCCTTTCAACAATTATAACGATACGTTTATAACTTGGCCTAGCTTCGAAACGTCGAAGCCTGTTCATATATATATATACGCTTACAATCTTAACACTGTACGAGGCCTCGATAAAATGTCGCATTGCCACGTCATACAAAATTTCGCTAGGACGGTTCTCGCTCGACGAAATCTCTGGAAACGCTCTCGTCTCCCTGCTGCGTGAGCGAACATTGGGACACATTATGTATACGTGTATGTATGCCACATATATGTAACACACAGTGGTACGTCGAAACGAATACGACGAGATCGAGCAGAGAGAGAACCGAGTCTCGCGGCTCAAGGATGCGGAAAGAGCGACTACGTAGGTACTCTCAGTTGTCGAACCGTAACGTCACGAGTCCCAGGTAACCATACTCCCGAGGGAGTACGGTTACTTCCCTTTTCTCCCCTCTTTTCTCCATTTCCCCTGCCCCTGCTCGGAACCACGCTGAGAGACCGAGGGTGGCGAGAGTAGAGAGGACCCGAGCTTTTGCAGACTGCTGAATGTCTCGAAAAGCTGCATTCGACGATGCAGCCGCGCGATTTTCCCACCACGAAAATTTCTCCGCTCGTCCGACCGCGTGTTAAATAAGATTACTCGCTGACGACAACAATATTGCGTGACGAACTGCGACACGCACCGACGTCACGCTTCTGTCGTTCCGCCCATTTTCGCGAGATAGAAAATTTGCTGCAACAGCGACAGGATTTATGATCGGCAGTCTTTTACACGGTTGCATTTTCTGGCTTGTTATATAAAATATCTCGTCGTGCGTATGTACAGTCAGTTATTCACAATATACAGGGTGTTCCATCAAAAGTGGCCAACCCCTTTTATCTTTTAAACTAAAAGAGACCGTAACAAATATATATCAAATTAAATGGTTCAAGCTGAACTTTATTGTGAGCATAATGACCGCTTTCAAAAGTTATCTGTGTTAACGAACGGAGAGATATGCATAATTTTTTTATAATAATGTGAATATTTTGATATGGTAAAAGTTGTAACGCTGTTTAAAACGAATACAACAATGTATGAGATAACGTAAGTATTTTATATATTTTTATCGAGTTTTATCGACTTGAAATATCGCGGGCGACGTTTAACTTTTCACTTTCTGCCCTGCGTTATGGTCAATTTCTGACTCGTGCATTAGAGATTGACATATGTTATATTGCCATTTAATCATAATACTCAATCCAAAGTTGGCCATATCGCAGGGCCAAAAATGAAAAAGGTAGACATCGCCCGCGATATTTCAAGTTGATAACTCATATAATATGTAAAATATTTACATTATATTATACATCATTGTATCCCTTTCAAACAATGCTATAACTTTTTTCGTGTCGAAAAATTCATATTTTTATTTAAAAAATATGCCGTTCTTTAACACAGATAGCTTTTGGAAGCAACCACTGTGCTCGCAATAAAGTTCAGTTTAAACCATTTAATTTGATATATATTTGTTACAGTCTATCTCTTTTAGTTTCAAAGATAAAAAGGAGTGGCCACTTTTGGTGGAACATCCTGTATAATATTTAATTCGCAAATATATAAAATCTTTACTCACATTAAATAAATATAATACACGTTACTTTCTGTCTACGAGGGATACAGTGGGAAACCGTAAATGTTATTTTGAAGCCAAAGTAAAATTCCAAGTTTGTCATTGTGTATACATTTTCATAGAAATTTGTAAGAGCTTTCTGCTTCTGGGGGCGCACTGCGTATACATACTAGAAATCCCCATTGTCGCAGCAGAAACCGTGTCAGCGACACATTAGACGCGCTGAGCTGCGAACACGGTTTTTCGGCTTTCGCATAACTGCATGCTCGGGGAGCATGCTTGGCGCGCTGCATCGCCGAAATACCGTATACGTATACATGTATACGTGTGTATATTGTCTCGAGGACAACGACGACGATGATGGTATGTCGCGTTGCGGCCTTCAGGTATTCGGCAGTGCGGCGCATGGTAAATATTTGCCGCCGAAATTCGATGGTCCTTTGCATAAAAAGCGCATCCCCTGCAACGGGAACGAGATGTCCGTTTTCGCGAATCGTACTATCAGATATTATAAAACGATGTGATCGAAAGCGCGGTTGAATTTCAAGTCACGGAATATTATCGAGAATCTTAACGCGCACGCTGAGTCGAGAGTAAAAGGATGAGTAATAAAAAAACACGCGTAATAAATTAATGATGTCTTATTCGATGTTTTATGCATTCTACTCATTTCCTCTCGAGTTTCGATACACTTCGGATAAAGAAACAATAAATAAAAAATATACAAAAAATATACTTTCAATAAAACATTTATAACTGCAATAAATATTAATTGATGTTACTTTATTTATTTTGCAATGCTATTTATGTCGCTTATCCGCAAATACGTGTAATCGATTAATCGCGAATTTCGAGGGAATTTGAAATAACGAGCGCCGGCCGCTCTGTTATCATACATTTTGTATCTATAACCGTGGAAAAACAGCGAACCGGATTTTGTTATAAAATGCCCTTTGTCATACGCGCATGTTTCCGCGTTGCATTAATTCTGGCTTCGGGATATCGCATGAAAAGATACAAATTCCATTTTGCCTCTCATATACGGGAATAATATGTGTATAATGTGAAACGAACCAACGATTAAATAAGATTGTATTGACGTCCCGCCCCGCCAATAGAATCAACACACTGAGCGGATTTATCCATGCTTCATGATATATGTATAGGCGATGCGCGTATAATTATATAAGTCCTAAATTAATTATTAATCCTTATCGGTAAATGAGCGTTTAAATGATACCGGTTAGCTGTACCCGCGCACGTGGAATTATTTGTTTTCCGAAACGAATGTACGAATGAATGCGTGGCATTAGCGTTGCATTCATTCGCAAGCAGCAAATATAGATATATGAACGCGATAGAATAACGCGCGTTTCAACGTGCAACGCTGATACGTCGTCGATGCATACGTTACCGCCGGCGTCGCACGCGAGAGAAGATCATTCTGTAATAAATAATTGAAAAACGGCAACGTTAGTGGCATGGCGACCGAATTGTTTCCGTCGCATCGCGTCGCACTGTTGTTCGTATGCTCGAAATTCGTCGCTTTATATAAACTATAAAAGCGCTTCGATTGCCGCTCGCATCGATAACATTATTACGGATCGCGCGCTCGTCAGAGAGCCAGAACGTGTTTTTGTTCGTATCTCACGTCGGATAATGTTAATACATAATGCATCGGGAGCGGCGTATATCTTCATTTACAAGCGAAATTAATCATTAATTCGGGATTCAATAATCGTTCTCGTTTATCGTACGTCGAGAGGTGTCAAGTGCGTCCAACGAACAATGCATGCCATACATTTATGCGCGTTATATTATTACACATGTCAAAAGTGGCTTTATCTCATTATGTCATAATGTCTTTTTTAATATTCCATAAATCCGTTACGAATTTATTAAATCAAAAGCGGTAATAAACATTAATAATTATTATTACATTGGATATGTTGCCACGTTTCATTCGAGTTCATTCACCTCCCACCCGAGTATATTTATGCCATTATCAATTATTGTGATTTTTATCTATCAAATAAATGATTAGAGCGTCTATGTATTCCATCCTTCATCGATAAAATAATCACGTCCATGATTATCAGATTAGACGGTTACGTGGCGTATTTGTATCCAAATTCTAGGCATCGGCAAAATCTGTTTGAAGCGCATTACTAGCCACTAGTAGTATTTCGCACTAAAATCTCGCAAACTAAGAAAATTGCGAAACATAAGAAATCTGCAGAACAAAGAATTTTTTAAGATAAATTCTAAGAATTTGTCATTATATGTATACCAAGCTGAGGTCGAAATTTCTAACCGAGCCGGTATTTATAACGGGAATAACGAGCGGAAATTTTGTTTGTTTCGAGCGACACAGCAGACCTTCTGTACGAAATACATGTATATTCGCCATCGTCGGTCGGTGCGAGTAAGTAAACGGTGGGTAGTAGGTCGCACGTGTTTCGAGCGCAACGAGCGCACGTGTCACGAGTGTTCCCGGGCCGAAGGCAGGCACGTAATAATAATTCGAAAAGTGGCAATCGCCGCCGTCGCCTCTCGCCCCCATTCTCGTCGTGCCCCTGCACTCGGGGCGGGCGTATCGTCAACCGCTTCGGATGTAATTGCAGCGCATGGCAAAATCGGTGGATCGTGTCGAAAGTCCCGCGCCGCGAATACTGCAGTCGAATTCAGTCAGAATGTGTCCCGGAGAGGCGGCTTGCAATTTAACCGTAGGTGAACGCGACAATGATTGCGCTGCAATTGCTGCGCTTGCAGACACGCGAGCAAAATCGTTTTAATTGTTCGCTCACAGACTTGCGCTGCGACGTAGCATGACGAATTATCGGCGCAACCGTCGTAAATAAACCAGGGCCGTCCACGGCATGCGCGAGCAAAAGTATTCGAAAGTGAGACATTTATTGCAAAGAAGTGGCATATATTTGGCGCACGCGGTTGCTCCTACCGTAAATTTAAGAAAAAAGTTTGCGCTATTTTCTTGCGAAATTAGAAGGTAGTCCTCCTTAAACTTTTATAAACCATCTCTTTGTGTCTTTAAACTTTTTTCTATAATTCATAGTCCAACTTCTTTTTACACGCATTGTATAATAATTAAAAACATTAAAAATATAATTTTGTATAAAATAAGTATTTTGTAAATTCATTTAATAGAATTTTTGAATTCTTACCCCGCATAGGGTGACATCGACGACTTCTTATTCCCTTCCCTTTCCTTCCAGAAATATCTGTAAAAAAGATTATTTTTTTATTAATCGATTTATATAATAAGCGATTACAAATCAGAGACTATATTATTAAAGCTTAATGCGCGGATAGAAATGGATGATCATCCTCTCCGTGTATTTGTAATTATTACACGAGACGCTCACAGACGGATCTCTTTCATCGTTCCGGAAACTAAAACAGATGACATTATCGACAGCAGACGTAACAGCGTACATGACACGTCCGGTTGAATCTTTATGTGCACGACGGCAGATCGTTACGTTTTAATTGCGACACGCGCGAAGCATGCGAAACCTGTGAGTCGACGACATACGTAAAATCATTAGAGTGCCGTCGCGTGTTCCGACACTGTGCGATAATGATCGTTCTCTTTCAATAAGGATCTCAATTTTATTACCCGGGCATACATTTCTCCAGCATCACGCATGATGCATATTTGAAACTTTTATCGATACGCTTCTTTCTTTACTTTCAAATGTTATTTTATAAAAATGTTCTAATTATTGCTATGAGATACGCAACCAATGCTTCACTTTTTTCGGCGCCCTAAATGACTGTCCATTTCGATCATTTTTAAAACCGCTACCGCGAAAGCAGGTGACGTTAATTGAGACGAAGTATCATGCAAAACGCCTCGTGTTGGTACGTGCATTAATAAATCATACGCAAAAAAAAAACGTAAACGCGCAAACGCGAATCGATAAACGTGATTCTGGAACTGTCACAAGGAAACCGTTTAACCGCGAAACAAGAAACCGACGCCTCCAGGGCGCGACGAAATTTGCTCGGCACTCACCGAAATAATTTTATTAAATAAGTATCCGAACTTGACGAAACTCCAATAATGAGCAGTGGCTGAAATAACCCTCGCGCAAAATCGACGGATTGTAAGATCATGCCGTATTCTCCGCAATTTTTTGGTGATTTCCGCGCGAAATGCTTCCGCTGTCCAATTATCAGACAGAACGACTATTGAAATTTTCATATGAACCATATTTTTACAGCGTACGAAATTGAGAATATTCTTCCGCTCGTATTCCACAAAACCTTTCATCCTTTGTGTGTCTCGAACATTTATATTTCAGACAAAGTATTAATGTAAGAATTAATTTATAGTATCACAGTAAGTTTATGTATGTTGATGATATAAATTAAGCAAATACGTATTTAAGTAGGTTAAATAAATAATAAGGTAAATATGTATACAAGATATTAAGTATTAATATTTTGAAAACTTAGTTGTGTTTTATATTTATATTTAATACGATTTTCCTAAGTTTCAACAATGTATTATATCAATGTAAATTAGAATAATAAACAGAATAATTATTTATTAAAGCATATGTATATAAATATAAAAGAGTAGTCTTAACATTTCAATCAAAGATATATCGCTGATTTATTCGCGTGATCAATAAATGGATATCTTCATTTATTATATCTTGCATCGATAAGCTGCGTATGATGAAATGGACTCAACGAACAATAGTTCCGTTGTCGTGAATTTTGTAAATTCCTTTTCTCCCTATTTTACTTTGGACGGAAGTAAAGAACATGGAATGAGACTCGCAAAGTGAATTCTGGCACGGAATCTAAATGCGAACGGTACGCGTATGCCACGAACACAAATTGTAGGAATAAAGACTTTACCATTTTTATAAGCTCGTCTCTGGTTTTGCCACAAAAGAAATTCACCAGCGATTTAACGTAATTTACTTCCGACTCGATTAACTTTTAATTCAACAGTCAGCTATAGATATAATAATAGATATAATAATAGATATAATAAAAACGTATATACATCTTGATCCAGACAGAATATGTACAGGATTATTCTCTCCCTGGATGACGTATTTTATACTTTAGAAACAGATTCTGCGATATTTCCATAGCAAAGTTTAAACATTATATATACTTTCAGTTTATAATATATTCTCCGCTAAAACAATAGATTGGGGCTTCATTTTCATCTTGGATCAATATATTCGGATAGGAAGCCACCAGCATGTCGATGAGCTACGAATGCTCGAACGCGTGCAAGTGATGGTTACATCGCACGACTCAGCTCGCATAGTTGAGAACCTAATCACGGATTTCCTAGACAGTCGTAAAATCCTTATTTGGTATTCGACTCGGTCCCTCCCGTAATCCACGACGGAACTATAATATCGTGCTAATATTATGCATGGTGAATCGCTGCAACTCGATATTCGCAAGCCACACGTATTACACAAGCGCGGCGCGCGCCGCGCCGTTGTCCGGCCATAAATAAGGAGCAAAGTAGTATTAGCCAGTAATAAGCTCCTCGAGAGTTTTACGGGGTGGGGGATATACACGTAAATAAATGAACCAATTCGAAACGGTTAATTTATTTATGCGAAATTTACGCAGCGTTTCGTGAACCGCCTCCGATATATGAGCACATCGAACACTGCAGATTGGAGAATAACTTTTTTTCTTTTCTTTTTCTTTTTTTTTTTTTTTTCTTTTTTAACGCACCAGCGCGATTTTGTTTTCATATCTTTGCAAATGGGCGGCAATCGCGATATCGATCGACTGACTAATTGCGAAGAATTTTTCCAGAACGTTCGTAGAAACGCGATAATCACGGAGAGCACGAAAATCTCGCGATGAATGCGTGCTGGATATAATTGGATGTCCAGAAAAATGGCAGCGTTACCTGCAATATTTTATAGAAACCGCTTTCGGCGTTTCGACGCCGAAGTCCCGGAAAAGAGAGATAGAGGTATCAGGACGGGTTTCGTGAAATGTACGCCGAACGAACTTCTCTCCATCGCGTGATATTCGTTATTACATCGACCGTCAACCGTAACATCTGTCACCGATTGTTATATGCAATAATTAATTAAATTGAAAATCCATAAAGCTCGGAAATTCTACAACAGAATTTATTTTATAAGTCTTTATTCAGAAAAAGCAAAACTTAATCCATTACTATTTTCAACGTCACAAAATCAATTACATAATTAAATCTTTCCCAGATTTACCAATTAATATATATATCCACTAGAAATCCTATTATAATAGTATATCTTATCGCTCTTTCACATACTGTTCTACACTCTTGTATAAGAGATTCTTTTCCATTATCAATTTATCATTCTTAAATTTTATCTATTTTTATTTTTAATTCATTTTGTATTAACTTTGTTCAATAAACAATTCAATATCGTTTTTACTTCAATACAGAATTCATAAACTTTAGATAAAATGAGAGAGATTTCTACTCACAATTCATTTCAATTATATTCCATAAGATACGAAAATAACACGTAATCTTAAATACATATTACATAAATATGTATTATATAATCTATTACATAAAAAAATATTTTCGTATACAACAAAGATGCAAATTGAACGGGCGCATTTTCCTGTGCTGTCACAAAAAAATTAAAATAATTCCTCAAAAGAATTTTATTTTCATGAACACGCGCTAACTATCTATTCATCCGATCGTCCCCAAAATTCTCACATGTACGTGTTTCCGTTTCTCGTTTGATTCGTGTGACCCCCAGGTTCAGGATGAACGTATTAAGCGACGAATTGTCAGGGACACTTGTATACAGGGTTGTTGTATGGCGGCGGTATTTTCCCTCGCCGAGCGAGACGAGTAACCTGTCCGTGGGGCTCTGCCACCGGAGCTCGACGTAGGACGTTCCGTAGGACCTGCGCGCTCCGCCGGCCTGGCGGAGGTTCAGTCGCTTCTACCAAGCGGCATTCACGTTCCGCGTCCGGACCGCACGCGCCTTTGCCGCGCGCGCGACTATCATCTATTCCCTCTCTCTCTCTCTTCCTCTCTCCCTTTCGTTATCCTCCTTTCTCGGCGATTGCGGCATCCCGCCGTGAACGAGAGCCAGGATCAATCGCCAATGGATTTTCCTCGCGAGTAGTATTGCCAAGGGATCGACGAGATTCCGACGATTTCGTCGAGCGACTCGTTCGCGCATCCGGGATGATAAAGGACACGATTGACAAGTGTTGTGAGCGCTCCGTATGGGGGACCGGCGTGTTTGACAAGTGATCAGTGAGCAGCGATTCACGCCTGTTATCAGTTAGTGCTACGTGCGCGGGGGAGAGCGAGGTCCTCTTCGCGGGTGGCGATGTAGCAGGTGAGTTTCTCTCTCCACAGTTGAGTCTTATTTTTATTTTGGTCAGTAGCTGATATTTTTGCCGATGGGCGATTGCGAGATAAACGCGCGTCGCGATAGTCCGATGGGTCGTAAGTCTCCTCTGCGAAAGAGCGACGCTGAGAAAGTGCCGCTTCCCGCAATGGTCCGTGTTTATATAAACGAGCGGACTGACTCGACAAATCACGTGTACTATATCTTTCCTGGCAAATTACTTTTAGAGTCCGCGAACAACTTCATTGTACCGTGTGTGTGAGTGTGTGTACGGATGTACGATACCTATACTTATTTATAAAAGGCGAAAAAGATTTTCCTTTTTTATCGATAGTCCATCGCTTCTGCAGCGTAATATTTATATAAATTACACAGAAACTTTTTGACGTATCAATATAATTAATTGTGTTCAAGCCGGAGTAGCCTAATTAATTAATAACGTATTAATAAAGTATTAGTTATCGCTTTGAAAGATCATATTACATTCGCAGGCGTGGAGAATTAATTTAATTGCATATAACGCGGCTCGTGTAAGTCTAGTGGCATTAAAGTGGAGATCACAGTTGGAAGATAAGCATGATCAGAGCTCGAAGTATGATGTCGAAAAGCGATTCGAAGTGAGCAAAAGTCAATATGTGCCGACCTCTTTTCGCAGTTGATGAACGTGATGCGTCACAATCGATCATAACGTGTCGCAAAAGCGTCATAAAAAACGGAAGTGCCCTTCTTTCTGTCGCATGTGAGTAACGCATCGCGCAGGGATCAAACAGCGAATTCGGGAGATTAATCGTAGTGCTTTCTAGTGTCATAATTAATCGCGTCATCCGTCGATGATTCATGTGCTAATGACAAGT